AACCATCCGTGAGCAGGAACAACTTGGCTCTCGGGGCGTGGCTCAATCTCTCTTCACTCGTGGAGTTCATTCAGAGGGGGACGTGGTTTTTTCATGGGGGATCTCAGGCTTACTGAGCACCCAGATGTGCAATGAGAAGCTTGGACCCTGAAGCCATTTCGTCCGCACCCACGAGCATCTCCCCGAGGTCTCAGAGGCGGCGTGGAGCTTCCCAGGGCAGGGGAAGAGGGCGGCTCCAAAAAAAAAAAAAAAAAAACACCAAAAAACAAACACACAAACCCAACAAAAAAGCCCGGACATAAACCCCCGCAACAACACGTAACAGCACGTATGCAGCAGCAAGGCGTCAGGCTGCTGACCCACCCCCGTGCAGCGGGGCCTCAGCAGAGCCCTCTTCGCTTTTAAGCCTCAGTTTCCCCATCTGCAGCTGGCCCCTGATTCCACAGTGCTGGGGGACAGATGGGAGGCAGCACAGTGCCTGCCCTCCAGAAGGATCCCCAGCGGGGAGCGTGTGCTGGGGGGAGAGGCATAAAGAGTCCAAGGAAAGGAAGCGCGGACTCCGAGGCCAGCCTGCCGAGAAACATCAGATGAGCCGCCAGCGAGTCAAACAAAAAAAAAAAAATAATAATAAAAACGAAGTCCGGCAGCCGGAGCCGAAAAAAATCACGCCAGGGCCGAGGAACAGGCCACCCACGCCCCTCCCAGAGCCACAGCTTCTCTGGGCCCTGCGTTATTTAGCCAGGTGGCTCAGAGGTCCCCACCCGCTGACGCCCCACGCCCTGAGTCCTCTCAGTGTGACACACTTAGCCACTTGCTTCTTTTTTTTTTTCCTTTTTTTTTTGAGACCCAGAGCTCACTCTGTGCCCAGGCACAGAGTGAGTGCCATGGCGTCAGCCTACTCACAGCAACCTCAGACTCCTGGGCCAAGCGACCTCCCTCCAGCCCCCCCGATAGCTGGGACTAAACAGCAGTCCACCCATGCCCGGCTCACTTTTCTAACTATATACCTTAGTTGGCAATTAGTTCTTTCTATTTATAGTAGAGCACGGGACCCGCGGTCTCGCTCACGCGGTTCGAACCCTGACCTCGAGCAAGTCTCCCTGCCTGGTCTCGCAGAGTGCTAGGATTTACAGGCATGAGCCACTGCACCCAGTCTGTCCCTTGCTTCTCATCGAAGAGAGCACAGCGATGGTCACTCGGACTGCAGCTTCTGCCTCAGGCGAGCTCTTGCCTGTGGGGCAGCCCTGAGCCAAGGGGCAGATGTCTCTGCCCACGAGTGCCAGTGAGCCGGAAATCGAGTCCCAGCCAGTGTTCAGCCTCCAGCCCGGCCCAAGCCCTCAGGCCACAGGCATCCGCTATAAACCACACCCTGAGTCCTGACCCCCAGGAACTGTGAGGCAGCGAATTGTTTTAGCCGCTATGTTTTAGGGACTTTTGTAACAAAGCCATAGCTGACTGATACACCCTATAGCTGCTTCTCCACACGGCAGCTACCGTGTTTCCCCAAAAATAAGACCTACCCACAAAATAAGCCCTAGCAGGACTTCTAAGCATTTGCCCAATAGAAGCCCTACCCCGAAAATAAGACCTAGTGACGGGCGTGGCTACGCAGCGCGTCTGCACAACCCGTGCGTGTCGTCGCAGAGTGGTAAAGAAGACGAGCAGCCCTTCTCATCCGCCCCATGGGAGCTCTAGTGCTCGACAGGAGAGATCAGGGCCCAATGGTTCTAAAGGAAATAGAGTCGCAAGAAACTCAGGATGGGATTCGGGGTCTGGAGAGTGATGATGATGTTCCAGAAGAAGACGACTTCACTATATTTGAATAAATGTAGATGGTTGTACCCTACTTAAAAAAAAATAACACATCCCCTGAAAGTAAACCCTAGGGTGTCTTCTTGGGGAAAAGTAATTATAAGACCCTGTCTTATTTTTGGGGAAACACGGTATGTGATTCTGCCTGGGAAGCAAATCAGGTCCCTCCTCCTCCCGGCCAGACTGGCGCCCCCTGCAGGAACCCCGCTCTCACGCTGCTCCACAAACCCAGAGAGCTCCTCCCCCCCTGCACAGGGACACTGGCTCCCGCACCTGCTGTGGCCTGTGTGCGTGTCCACGGCCTCCCCGCTAGAACGGCAGCAGCGTAGGCGCCGGTGCACCCCTGTGTGAGCCCCCCATGGCCCCGGGGCACGTCTGGGGGGAGGGGCAGGTGGATGACACCCCGAATGGGAGTGGACATGGAGGGGCCAAACCCACGCACAGGGCAGGAGAGCTGTGTGTGGAAGACAGCTGCAGAGGAAAGGACTTGGGGTGTCGAGCGGTTTGTAAGCATCTAAACAGAAAACCATGGGTGGGATTGGTCCATTCCATCCACTGGCCCCTTAGGTAAACCCTGTGATGGGGGTTAACAATCCCATATGATATTGTCAATAAAAAAAAGAAAAATACAGGTTAAGAACAGAAACACTGAGCTCAGTGACACCCAACATTTATTGGCCGGGCACGGTGGCTCACGCCTGTAATCCCAGCACTCTGGGAGGCCAAGGCGGGAAGGATTGCTTGACCTCAGGAGTTCGAGACCAGCCTGAGCAAGAGTGAGGCCCGTCTCTACTAAAAACATAGAAAGAAATTAACTGGACAACTAAAATTAGATAGAAAAATTTAGCCGGGCATGGTGGCCCATGCCTGTAGTCCCAGCTACTCGGGAGACTGAGGCAGGAGGATCGCTTGAGCCCAGGAGTTGGAGGTTGCTGTGAGCTAGGCTGATGTCACAGCACTCTAGCCCGGGCAACAGAGTGAGACTCTGTCTCAAAAAAAAAAAAAAAAAAAAAAAAAAAAAAGAAAGAAAAACATTTTTTAAGCAGGGACCATGCACAGGGTACGACCCAATACCCAGGGACAGGGCCACGGGGCAGACGCTGAATCCTCTCAACTCTGGGGGGGGCGGATTTCTGAGGGTGGAGGCACCTTTTGTAACTAAAGAAAACGTTTGCATGGAAAAGCAGCTGGAGGGGTAGCCACGGAAGTGATAGTCGTGCCGTGTCTGGGTGCTGAGCACGTATCTACACGGTCGAATATCGGGTGCTGAGCACGTATCTACACGGCCGAATATTGCACCAGGGAATGTCATTTCCTGCATGACAAGGATAGTGCAATATCTGTCAGGATCTCATTTCCGGTGTCGGGCCCAGCAGGAAAAGGCAGGAGGGGTGGGAAGGGCCTGCCATGGTCCCTGGGGCTGTCGTGGGCTGCATGGGCGGGAGCTGGGGGTGGGCCAGGTGTGGCAGACCAAGCCGTGGCTTTTCCTTCTGTGGTCTCTGTCCCCTCCTGCCCCCGCACTGAGGCAGGCCACGAGCCCCGCTGACCAGGCTGAGGCCCAGGCCCCAGGGGGTAGGTTACCATCTCTGGGCTTTGCAGACTCGAACTCCCAAGCTCCGGGGCTGTCCTCGCCTTGCCCCTTGCTGGACGTGCCATCTGTTAGCTGCCGTGGTGCCAGCTGTGCCCCTGGGTGGCCTTGGGGACGTGGCTGGACATTTCAGTGCGGTGGTTGTTCGTGCTTAGAACTTAGCACAACCAACAGCGCCAAAGGCCAGCGTTGCTGGGCGGAGGTTTACAGCTGCTGTCGCAGCGCTGCGCTGGGCTGTCTCGGGAAAGGGCGCCGGGGCGCAAGGCTGGCCCAGTGTAGCCTCTCTGGACCCCTCGCCCTTGTCCCCCTGGGCAGCTGGTGGGCCCAGGATGACGTCCCCGCCCTCAGCGCGCTCCACGGGGAAGAGGGGCCCCGGCTTCCGAAGCTGTCCCGACCCGGCCGGGCTGGGAGGGGAGGCGCACAGAGGCCCGCGGTGGGGCGAGCGAGCTGGGGCGCCCGGTGCGCTTCGCGCTCCTCCCCGCGACCCTGGCCTCCGGTCCCTGCCCGCAACCTCCAGTCGCACCTGGGGCAGAACGCTCCGGTCTGACCGCGAGGGGACGCTGTCTCCCACCCGTCCGCCGCCGCTGCGCAGCGTCCTCGTCCAGTCTTAAGCAGCTTCTCTGACCGCAGAATCTTCTTCTGGAGTCCCGGTTGCCCAGGTGGAGCACACCAGCTCCGCTGGGCCCCTTCAGTCTTACGCGTCTCCCCTATCCTCACCCCCTCGTGGCTTTTGGCCAGGTCTGTGCCCTATTTTTAGGTAGAAATTGGCAAAGAGAATGGGCTGGGAGTGGTTTGAGTCTCTGCCAACACCTCTTCTTCCGAGCTGCTTCCTGTGCCGGCAGCAGGTGGTGGTGGTGGGGGGTATGGGACCGGAGCGGAGGGCAGCGAATGATGCTGAGGGCGAGTGGGACCCTCCCCCACGGAGCCGAGGCCTGCTCCCATCCGGCCTCGGGGACAGGCGTGGACAGCGCCCTGCGGGGCCTGGCGCTGGTGGCCCCCCCCCCCAGTCCCTCCCGGCCAGACTCAGGCCCACACCCGTGGGACAGCGAGGGGCTGTCCCTACCCCTGGACCGGGACCGTCCTTCCTGCCCCAGCCTGGCCCAGCGTGGCGCTTGGCACACAATAGGCGCTCATTAAATGCATGGGTTTTTTTCCGGGGGGAGGAGTTCTTTTGTTTATTTTACTTCAAAAATTTTAGGAGGCACACGTGTTTTTTGTTTCGTGGATAAATTAACTAATGAGAGAATAGTTACAGAATTAGCCACGGAATCCGAGAGATCGCAGGAGGCTGGGGATTTGGTGCGAATTGGGGCTCGTGGCCCCCTCTCCAAATCTGGGGGCGACCCCGGAGCGAGCCCTGGGCCGGCGATAGGCACAGCCGGGGAGGGGCGCCGCGACCCCTGACCCCCAAATCTGTTAGCCCTGGGCTCCCCTGGGAATTTGAACCGGTGTCCGCTGGGGCACCCCGGGGGGCGCAGGCAGATGCCTTCTCCACCACTTGCCCGCCGAGCTCCCCCTCCCGGCCCGCTCCCGCCCCAAGGCGCCCGCCGCCCCGCAGTCCCCGCGCGGTGGCGGCCGCGGAGCCACGTGCGCGGCCCGGCGGGCAGCGAGCGGGAAGCGCGCCACGCCTGGCCCGGCCACCATTTCCCGGGCGCCGCGGCGGCGCCGACTCGCGGGCAGCGGCCCCTCCGAGCGCCCAGCGGTCCCGAGCGCGGCGCCGGGAGCATGAGCCTGGGCTCGCAGCGCGGGGCGGCGGCGGCCCCGGGGGTGGTGCCCGCGCCCTGCGCCTCGAAGGTGGAGCTGCGGCTCAGCTGCCGGCACCTGCTGGACCGCGACCCGCTCACCAAGTCCGACCCCAGCGTGGTGCTGCTGCAGCAGTGCCAGAGCCAGTGGGTGCAGGTAGGGCCGGGCGGGTGCGGAGCGGCCCCCGGGGCTGCGGATGCGGAGACCGAAGGGGGCGCGCGGAGCGTGGCGGGGCGCCAGGAAGGGGCGTCTGGGAGCTGGGGCAGAGCCCGGGGCCAGGGTGGGGCCGCCAGGTGCACAGAGGAGATGTCCGGGAGGGGGCAACGGCTGAGAGGGGTCCAGGTAGAGAGGGGTGTCCGGAGGGGGATGCTGCAGTGGGGGTCCCCGGGGCCAGGCTGGAGCGCCCCAGGGGGAAGTGCGGGCAAGGGCCTTGACCAAGGGGCGCAGAAGGAGATGGGGGCTCCGGCGTGCAGCCGAGTGGAGGCGCAGTGTCCTGACTGGGGTTACGCAGCTCCCTCCACCGGCCTGCGGGGACCGCGGGGCGCCTCGCCTTGGCCAGGTCCTCACCCACGAGGCGGAGGAGCTGCTCTCGGGGCTCGTGGTCTGGGGAGGTCCGCGCTCGGCTGGCTCCGGCCCCTCGCGCGCCGGAGGCCGAAACTTGACCTCCGGGATCCGGGACGGCCCGGCTGGAGGGCTCGTCGGTTCCGCCAGAGTCCAGATTCTGGCGCTGGTCCCGAGCGACCCCGGGGTGACCGCGGCGCAGGTGTCCTGGGTCCCGGACGCGAGTTCTCCCTGGACACCCCCGGCCTCCGCCCGCCGGCTCCCCACGGCACAAAGCGCTTCTCCCGATATCTCGCCGGAATCGCGGGGCTTCGCGTCGAAAGGGCAAGAAACGCGGGGCGCCCCGGGCCGCGGTGGCGACGAGCAGGCGCTCAGAAGGGGCGCGTCGAAGCCGTCGGCGGGGCGGAGGGGCCGGGACTCGAACCCGCGGGGAGGTGGAGGGGGCCACATCGCCAGGTCTCCCAGCGCAAGGCTGCGCCTGCGTCCCGGGACTAGCTCCGCTGCTCAGACCCGGTGACATCTCCTGTCCTCTCTGGACCATCAGCCTCCGGGGCTGATAAGCCCCCTCGACCTGCCCCAACCACGGGTCTTGGGGGGGGCGGGGGCGCCACCGTCCCAGCCCTTGAGCCCCAAACCCTCAACAGTGCTTTGGGGTGACCTGAACATTGCAGGAGTTCGTGTGGTTCTAGGGGGGCGTGGAAGCTTGGTTGGCCTTATTTATGTTTTGGGGCGGCAGTGGGGGGCGCTCAGTTTTCAGGAGAGGCGGGTGAAGCCACCCGTCCCCAGCTAGGGGGGATCTGCAGCCACGACCCCTCCCTGCTCAGCTGTATGCTGGGGAAAGAGCCCCCCAGCCCCCGTTGGGGTTGTCCAGTCCAGGGCTGGAATCTGCCTCCATCCCCAACTCGGAGTGTCCTTGGGCGGGACCCTCCCCTCTCCGAGCCTCAGTTTCCCCATCTGTGAGCCCATCTGTGAGGCAGTGGGTGTGAGCTGAGAAGATGCAGAGAGGCGGAAGCCCATGGCTGGCTGGGGGTGGGGGAAGGGGGCTTCCAGGGTCTGTGGGCGTGACCCCCAGGGGTGGAGGTGGGAGTCCAGGGGCCCGTGGATGGTGGACAGGCTGGGAGGGGTCTGAGATGAGCTGGAGGTGAGTCCTGCATGGCTCAGTGGTGGAGTGGGAGAGGGAGACAGGGCTGGGCCCACCCCCCAGCCGTGCCAGGGCAGGGGGCCGCTCACGGGTGCTTCCTGCAGGTGGACAGGACCGAGGTGGTCCGGAGCAGCCTGCACCCGGTGTTTTCCAAAGTCTTCACGCTGGACTACTACTTCGAGGAGGCGCAGAAGCTGCGATTCGAGGTGTACGACACACACGGGCCCAGCGGCCTCGGCTGTCAGGATGACGACTTCCTGGGGGGCATGGAGTGCACCCTGGGGCAGGTGGGCACCCCGGCCCTCCGGAGGGAGGCTCGGGGGCCCGGGGCTGTGACGGTGATGGAAACAGACTGTGCCAGGCACCAGAGGACGAGCACCCAGCCCAGCCCAGCTCTAGAGCTCCTGTCGACAAAGATTCCTTATTGGTTTTTTTGAGACAGAGTCTTGCTGTGTTGCCCAGGCTAGAGTGAGTGCCGTGGCGTCAGCCTCGCTCACAGCAACCTCGAAAAACTCCTGAGCTCAAGCAATCCTCCTGCCTCAGCCTCCCAAGTAGCTGGGACTACAGGCATGCACCACCATGCCCGGCTAATTTTTTCTATATATATGTATAGTTGACAAATTAATTTCTTTCTATTTTTAGTAGAGACAGGGTCTTGCTCTTGCTCAGGTTGGTTTTGAACTCCTGACCTCGAGCAATCCTCCCGCCTCAGCCTCCCAGAGTGCTAGGGTGACAGGCATGAGCCACTTCGCCCGGCCTGTTTTTTTAAGATATAATTTGAACTGGGTAATACGATCAAACCTCAGAAGGCATAACGGCCCCCTGCTGCCCCCGTGCAGCAGGTCCTCTGCCCGGTCCTTGGCACCTTCCAGAGAGACACGTTCTTGCAGGAGCAAAGGAGCGTGTCATTTCTCCTCTTAAACACACACACACACACACACACACACAAATTACATTCTGTTCTGCAACTTGCTTTTTTCCGCTGTGGGGACAGAAGGGGCCCTTCCACAGCTCCACAGAGTGGCTCCCCCGCCCCACCCGCCTGCAGGTCCTCCGGTTTTGGTGGAACAATAGCGTTTGCGCCGCCGGCCCGTGTGCCAGGCTCTGCTCCGAACACTCCATGAGCCGCATGCTAATTCTCCAGGCTCGCCACGGAGGTCCTTTCTCACTGAGCTGTGATTTACATACCGTGCAATGCACGGATCCCAGGGGTCGAGACCGGCAAGTTCAGGCAGCTGCACACACACCAGCCCGCCCGCCAGATCACGGGACGTTTCCCTCCCCCCGAGCGCCCCCCTCCCCTCTCCAGCCAGTCCCGGCTGGCTTTGTCGGTCCTAGAACCTCAGGTGTGTGACTCACGCGGCACGCTCTCATCCGTGCGGGATTCTTCTGCCCAGCATAAGGTCTGACTCACCCGCTCCCTGCACGGGTTGGTGCCGGTTCACGCTGGGTCCCTCCACCGTCCCCGTTTGTCAGATAAGGAAACTGAGGTTCAGTGAGGGCACAGCCGGGGGTTCCCGCCGGGCACATCTGCCCGTCGTACAGATGCAAGAGGGTGGCACATGCGTGGTGGACAGTCATGTATGAACACATGCAGGGACACCTGCCCATGTACACACGTGTCATAGCCTAGGCCAGACACACCTGTATGCATACCTGCATGAACACACTCGTGGGGCACATGGAGACACATGCATGCGTGTGTGAACACACGCATCTGTGTAGATACCACGGCTTCCTGCTCTGCAGCCAACACCACACTCAGTGATCCAGGGGAGGCTGCTGGCTTCCGATACTTTTTTTTTTTTTTTAAGACAGAGTCTCACTCTGTTGCCCAAGCTAGATGCCATGGGCGTCAGCCTAGCTCACAGCAACTCACAACTCCTGGGCTCAAGGGATCCTCCTGCCTCAGCCTCCCGAGTAGCGGGACTACAGGCATGTACCATGCCCCGGCTGATTTTCTATATATTTTTAATTGGCCAATTAATTTGTTTCCATTTTTAGTAGAGACAGGGGTCTCGCTCTTGCTCAGGCTGGTTTAGAACTCCTGACCTCGAGCGATCCTCCCGCCTCGGCCTCCCAGAGTGCTAGGATCACAGGCGTGAGCCACCAAGGCCCGGCCCGTTTCCTCATTGAGTCAAGTGAACCGTGCACTCGGCCCAGAGCTGGGCACACAGGAAGAGCTTATTAAACACTAGCTGTCACCGCAAACCAGCGCTCCCGTTATGCCCGGAGCCCTTCTCCACTAAGGACCTGCTTTGCTGCCAGGAGGGGCAGGTGGGTGGGGAGGGAGGCAGGGCAGGCTCAGCCCTTGTTTTGTCACCAGCTGTGGGCATCTGCGCCCACCCTTGGGTCGTGCGAGGGCAGCAGGACAGGCCCCGGTGTGAGGCAGACCTTGTCTTAGGAGCCCAGATGTGAAGCCTTTCAATGGGGGAATCTTGGGGGGCTGGCCTGAGGCCCCCCGCTTTGCACCTTTAAGAGACCTTCCCTACCCCCTCTGCCTATTCTGACCTCCCTGCGCCCCTACCTGGGCTCTGTTTTCTCTCTGCACGGAATGTTCCTCCGTGCTCAGCGGCTGTCAGCCAGGCAGGCCCCGGTGGCGGGGGGACTAGAGTAGCCGCTGTCTGGTTTGCGCTCGGCCCCCTTTGCTGGGACACCCCTGTGTCTGCCGGACAGCAGCAGGCGAGGGCTGGCCACGGGGTGGGCTGCCATGCGTGGCCACCACGTGGCGCTCGCTGAGGACACACCTGCGTGTGGACAGCCTGTCTGTTGACTGCGTCAGCGTCACCCCCATGTACAGGCGAGGACGTGGAGCCCCCACCCCAGCCCTGCTCCCTGCCGAGCAGGTGGCGTGTGCCGGGAGCAGCCTGTGCCACGTCAACATGCCCGCCCAGGCGGGGCTCCTGGCGGATGGGGGAGGCACCGGGGGCCGTGAGGAGGGGGAGGCCCAGGCTGGGAGACGAGACCCCAGGGACCGTGTCAGCGCTGGGGACCTGCTGGGCCTGAGGGTCCGGGGCGGGGGGCCGGCACCGTCCGCCCCACGAGGGTCCCCCGTGGGCTGTGGGGGGGGGTGGGGAAGCAGAGGACAGACTGAGGGGTCTGTTGGGGTCCAGGACCCCCAGACTGTTGGGGTCCTGGAGTCGGAGCTCCTCCTCGCCTGACTTTTCTGACGTCCAGATCGTGGCCCAGAAGAAAATGACCCGCCCGCTGCTGCTGAAATTCGGCAGGAACGCCGGCAAGTCCACCATCACGGTGAGGCCCTCTGCCCTCCGACCCCCGACCCACGCTGGGGGGCGGGTCCGTGGGCTGCCGGGTGGGGTCGGGCCACCGCCAGGCCCAGCTGGGAGCCCTGCCCTGGCCCCTCGCAGGTGATCGCCGAGGACATCTCGGGGAACAACGGCTACGTGGAGCTCTCCTTCCGGGCCAGGAAGCTGGACGACAAGGTGAGGGCGCGGGGCAGCCGGGAGCGGGGCAGCGTTCCTGCTTCCGTGGGGCTGGGGACCCCCGTGCGCGAAGCCCGTCCCCGCCCGGCGCGGACCTGGCACCAGCCGCGGCGTCTGTGAGGCGGCGATGACGGGGACTGGCTGAGGACAGACAGTGTCACGCGTGTGGGGCGTGTGGAGAGCTGAGGGGTCCCAGGCGTGCCCGGTCGTGGGCACGGCTGCCGTCTCCAGGGAAGCAGGGTCCTGCCTGCTGTCTCCTGACGCCGGACGCACCCCGGTTGCACTCGAGACCCCGTCCAGTGACGGGGAGACGGGCAGGGGGCCCCGAGGTCGCCGGGTGGGAACCCCTTTTGCGCGGCATCTCTGCCCCCTGCAGACGTTCGAGCCCAGATTGCAGCCTGGGGAGGGGCAGCGGGCGGGAGACGCTCTGGGGGGGACTTCCTGCCACCCTGCTTTATACCCGGGGAGGCTCTGCCCCCAAAAGCCCGACGTGGACCCCCCACACACACTCCAGGACCTCTTCAGCAAGTCCGACCCCTTCCTGGAGCTGTTCCGGGTCAACGACGATCTCAGCGAGCAGCTCGTGTACCGCACGGAGGTGAGTGGACGCCCGGGGCGCACCGAGGCGGGACCCGAGAAGCCCGGCCCACGGCTGGCCATGGGGCGCCGTGTCCCCCACACCCAGCGCCTCCCGTCCACGGGGTCACGTGACCGGGCGTGGCCTCAGTGGCCGGGCGTGACCTCGGTGGCCGTGTCTGCAGTTGGCATCCCACGGGCTTCTCTGCTGTCAGTGATTATTTTTAGGGACACCTTCCACTTCCTGCAGGTGAAACGGGATTCCAGTGACAGCAGGGAGAGTGTTTCCTTTTGAGATAAATTAGTTTGAGTCTTAAAAAAAAAAAAAAAAAGTCTATTTAAGGAGAAAGGAATCCGGGTGGCCGGGGACCACACCAGAAGTTGTGAAGGTGGTTCCCAAAGGCGGGGGTTTGCAGGCGACCTGCTGGTCCCCACCTGGGCACGGCAGGGTGCAGCGAAGGGGGCCGGCCGTGCCCCCTCCGCCACCCGTGGGCCCCGGGTCTCCCCTTCTGGGCCCTTCCCGCCCACAGGTCGTGAAGAACAACCTCAGCCCCGTGTGGGAGCCCTTCAAGGTGTCGCTGAGCTCCCTGTGCTGCTGTGAGGAGACTCGGCCTCTGAAGGTGGGGGCCGGCGGCAGGGGGGGGCCGGGGCAGCTGTCACCGCAGACCCCCGAGTGGGCCCCCCGGGGTCAGGGGTGGAGCCGCCCGGGCTGGGAGGGAGGGCCTGGGGCGCCCGGGCTGGGGGCAGGTGGCTGAGGGTCCCGGGGCTCCCCAGGGCCTGGTCTGGGACTACGACTCCCGCGGGAAGCACGACTTCATCGGGGAGTTCGCCACCACCTTCCTGGAGATGCAGAAGGCCTTCGCGGAGGACCAGGTGAGCCGGGGCGCCCGGCCGGGCGGGCCGCACCTGTCGGCTTGCAGAGGTGGAGAGAACCAGGTTTCGCTGTGTGAAGGTGAAAAAGGGACGATATCCGCTGAGTGGCCACAGCTGGAGAGACCAAGTGGCAGATTTAAGAATGGTTCAGGCTGGGGGGCTGGGGTGGTGTCTGAGTTTGGGGGTCCTGAAGGGAGCCCTCCCCGGGGGCGTCTGCCCAGCCTGCAGCCGAGGGCAGTGGGTGGGTCTGGTGGGGGCTTCCCTGGCTCTCCTTCCTGCCCCCCAACCCTGGACCCGTGTCTCTGGGCAGGGCCACGCTGCCTGTGGGGTCTAACCTGGACCCCTTCTGACCACACCGCCGGTCCCCGGCTGCTCCCCCTCTGACAGCGGTTCCCACGGCGGCCACGCCCGTCCCCTGTGCAGGGGGAGCCCTGGGCTCACTCTGGGGACAGCCCTGGGGGGTGAGGTCACCCGGGGATAGTGCTGGGTGCTGCCAGTCTGGGGAGGGACCTCCGCCCGTCCGTTTGTGCCAGGCCCAGTGGGACTGTGTGAACGCCAAGTACAAGCAGAAGAAACGCAACTACAAGAACTCGGGGGTGGTCGTCCTGGCAGATCTGAAGGTGAGGCCCTGCCCAGGTGGGGGCGACTAATCCTGCCCAGGTGGGAGCAAGGCAAGCCCCTCCCTGGTGGTGCCCGGCGTGATGGGCAGGGGGGAGGTGGGGGCTGGTGTCTCAGATCTGAGCAGGCCCCTCCATCTCCCTGGGGGGCCGGGTGAGCCCTGCCGACGCCACTGCCCGGAAGCTCCACAGGGTCTACTCCTTCCTCGACTACATCATGGGCGGCTGCCAGATCCACTGCACCGTGAGTCCCCCTCCCTGCTTCTGAGGCCCCCTAGGAGCCGAGGGCGGTGGGTGGGTGGAAGGGGCACTCGGGCAGGTTCCACCCGCGTCTGGGCTTTTCCTTCCCTGAGGGGGCCTCTCCTTGGCCAAACGAGAGTTGGGGGCCAGCCAGGGCCACCCTGGGAGGCAGAACCCTCAGGGCCCACCTCCTACAAAAGCACGGTGACAGAAAACACATGAAAAAGAAAAGGGGGCCGGGCATGGTGGCTCACATTGCCTGTAACCCTAGCACTCTGGGAGGCCGATGCAGGCGGATCGTTTGAACTCAGGAATTCAAGACCAGCCTGAGTGAGAGCAAGACCCTGTCTCTACTAAAAAAAAATAGAAAGAAATTAGCTGGACAACTAAAAATAGATAGAAAAATTTAGCCAGGCACGGTGGCACATGGCTGTAGTCCCAGCTACTTGGGAGGCTGAGGCAGGAGGATTCCTCGAGCCCAGGCACTCTATCCCAGGCAACAGAGTGAGACTCTGTCTCAAAAAAAAGGGAGGGTGAGCACGTGGCTGCCAGGGACAGGCAACCTCAGGCTGCCGTGGCCACACCGAGGTAGCTCTAGGGCAGACCCACCTGCAGGTCCCATTGCTGTTGTTTCCCTGGGTGGCCCTAGACCAGCCTGTGGGAAGCAGCCGTGGGGGCTGGGCGGGAGGTGTCAGTCCAGAGCAGATGGGAACCCCCCCCATGCCTCTGTCTGAGCCAGGACCCCTGCCAGCAGTGAGCCCCCGCCCAGTGATTTGGGGGGGTGTCGTTTGGGGATCCAGGGAGCTGAGGGGCTGGCAGGACCCGGGGAGACCCCTCCTTACCCTGGGCAGCGGGTGGGACAGTCCCAGCGAGCAGTGACTTTGGGACTGGGGCAGCAGCCCCAGCTCCACCGCACGAGGCCCCAGGTCCCAGCTGCTCTGGGCTCAGGTGTATCTTACCTGTCCGGTGGTGGGGTACATGTGTCCTGCCTGGCCTGCTCACCGCTCCTGGGCCTCCTGCAGGTGGCCATCGACTTCACAGCCTCCAATGGGGACCCCCGCAACAGCTGCTCCCTGCACTACATCAATCCCTACCAGCCCAACGAGTACCTGAAGGCCCTGGTGTCCGTGGGCGAGATCTGCCAGGACTACGACAGGTGCGGCCCCCATCCCCCACCCCCGGCTCCCCTCACCTGCCTGGGCTGCAGGTCAGGGCTGGTGGCCCTATGTGGGGGGCAGGGGGCACCATGACCGTCCACCCATCAGCAGGACCTGCCCGGTCAGGCAGGGACCCCTCTGTAGTGGCTGGTGCCACAGTGCAGATGGCTGACACCCCGGGGGGCTGTCTACAGATCAGGAAACTGAGGTCGCAAAGCTTACCTGAGGGTGCCCGGCTGGCTGAGAAGTGGCCTTGTGCACACCCAGGGGGCTGCTGGACTCTGAGCTCGTGGCGGCAACCCGGAGCCCCGGCCCAGGGCTTGGGAGCGGATGCCCCGAGCTCCCTCCCTTGTGTCTCCCATCGGGGTGGGTGAGGGCCGAGGGCAGGAGACCACGGAGCCCCCTGAGCTGTCGTCGGGGCCTGCACAGGGAGGTGTCTGCAGGGGACAGACAGCGTGTGCAGGGCAGAGACAGGGCGTCAGGGAGGGCAGACTTACAGAGCAGCTCGACCCATCCTGCGTGCCTGGCTCAGTTTCTTCTCCTGCACTGTGCCTCAGTTTTCCCCATGTGGCATGGCAGTGGTGCCAGTCCTGGGCTAGCAGGGCCCTGGTCTCCTGGGTTCCCGTCCATGTTTCCCCTGAAGCGGCCCCCACCCCGCCCTTGGGAGGCAGGGTTCCCTGCGTGACCAGGGCCATCTCTCTTCCAGTGACAAGAGGTTTTCTGCTTTGGGGTTTGGAGCTCGGATCCCTCCCAAGTATGAGGTAGGAAAGCCCAGGGGCCGGGGCCCCCACCCCTCCGTGGGACCCCTGGTTGCTGCCATTTCCTGCTGGGAACCAGCTCCTATGGGATGGAGTGGGAAGCAGAGACCTGCCCAGCAGCCAGAGAGGCTGACCTTTGACCTCCTAGGACTTGTCAGCTTTGGGGGGACTGGAGACAAGCCCCGTGTTCTGTTCAAGAGGAGAACATTACCTGTGTTTCCCCGAAATAAGACTTACCCATAAAATAAACCCTAGCATGGCCGGGCGCGGTGGCTCACGCCTGTAATCCTAGCACTCTGGGAGGCCGAGGCGGGAGGATCACTCGAGGTCAGGAGTTTGAAACCAGCCTGAGCAGGAGCGAGACCCAGTCTCTACTGTAAATAGAAGGAAATTAATTGGCCAACTAACATATATAGAAAAAATTAGCGGCATGGTGTGCATGCCTGTAGTCCCAGCTACTCGGGAGGCTGAGGCAGGAGGATCGCTTGAGCCCAGGAGTGTGAGGTTGCTGTGAGCGAGGCTGACACCACGGCACTCACTCTAGCCTGGGCAACAAGCGAGACTGCTGTCTCAAAAAAAAAAAAAAAAAAAAGCCCTAGCAGGATTTCTAAGCATTTGCGCAATAGAAGCCTTATCCCGAAAATGAGACCTAGTGACGGGCGTGGCTATGCAGCGCGTCTGCACAACCCGTGCATGTTGTCACGGAGTGAGAAAGAAGACGAGCAGCCCTTCTCATCTGCCCCGTGAGAGCTCTATTGCTGGACAGAAGAGATTGGGGCCGTTGGTTCAGAGTCTGGAAACAGTGGCAAGAAATTTAGGATGGAATTTGGGGTTTGGAGAGTTATGATGTTCTAGAAGAAGATGACTTAACTATATTTGAATAAATGCACGTTGTTGTACTGTACTTAAAAAAAAATAACACATCCCTGAAAATAAGCCCTAGGGTGTCTTCTTGAGGAAAAATAAATATAAGACCCTGTCTTGTTTTCTGGGGAACACGGTAGTTTGGAATCTTCTGGCTGCAGATAATAATTCAACTGGCTTACAAAAAATGGTGTGTGGGGGATTTATTGGCTAATAGAACTGAGTAGCTTCAGGTCTGGCTGGATCCAGGGGCTAAAGCAATGTCCCAGGACTAGTCTGTCTGTTTCCCCCTCTGTCTGGTGGCTCTGCCTCCCCCATAAGTCAGCTCCCCTCCCGTGTAGGCTTTTCCCTCTGGGGCCCTTCAGAACCTCCAAACCCACCTCTCCCCGGGGTGGGGAGCGTGGCAGTCCCGGGAGGACGGGACCCCACGCCGACTGGCCGCTCTTGTCCCCACCCAGGTGTCCCATGACTTCGCCATCAATTTCAACCCTGAGGACGATGAGTGTGAAGGTGGGAGCTGGAGGCGGGCCCGGGGCGGCGGCGGGGCGCCCAGGGGCCGGGCTCACCCGCTGTCCCCGCAGGGATCCAGGGCGTGGTGGAGGCCTACCAGAACTGCCTGCCCAGGGTCCAGCTCTATGGCCCCACCAACGTGGCGCCCATCATCTCCAAGGTGGCGCGCATGGCGGCGGCCGAGGAGCACACCGGGGAGGCCTCGGTAGGTGCCCGGGGCAGGGCGGTGGGGACTGTGTGCGTGTGGGACAGTGACATGTACGGTGGCACGGGGCTGGTCGTGTGCTCAGCGGGGACTGTGTGTGTTGGACCAGGGAGCCCACCGTGGCACAGGGTCAGCACGGTGGGGCTGCAGGTCAGGGTGGCAGCGGTGACCTGGGGGCCAGGCGGAGGACCAGGCGGAGGACCAGCCCGAGGCAGGACAGAGCGCTGGACGGGGAGGGCCCACGTTGCCAGCAGCGGCCCCCTCAGAGCTGCGGGAATCTCGGGGCACAGGATGGAATTCAACGGGCCGTGGCGCTGACTCCAGCCAGCCTCCCCTCCTCCTGTCCCTTCTGCGCCGCCACACGGCTGGTCACTGTTTCCTCCTGCATACGTTGTTACTTTGCACGTGTTACCGCCTTGCACAGATGCATTGCTGGAGACCGTTCTGCTTGGCATTCTTGGTTGTCACTACGCTCTGCAGCCCTGTTGGGCTGCCGGGCCCACAGCAGGCCTATCGATTTTGTTTAACTTTCTATTTTGAAAAACAAAAAAAACCAAAAAAACTCCAGCAAATTTACAAGCATGGTGAGAATAGTGGAGTGACCTCCAGTTGCCCTGCCCTTGGGCTCCCCGTCAATGACGTTTTCCCGGCCCCTGCTCTGCGTATGTGCGCGCTGCTGCCGCCACCGCCATCCTTCTCTCTGAACCATGTGAGAGCCTCGGCTGCCTCCCGCTGCTGCCCAGACTCTCCAGGCGGCCGACCCGCCAGGGAAGGGCTGCTGTGCAGACCACAGGGGCTGAGGGCGTCCCAGGCACTTCTCATTCACCCCCATCCCACCCTGACCCACTCTGGGTCTGGCCATCCACAGTCTTTTTTCTTTTTTGAGACAGAGTCTCGCTCTGTTGCCCGGGCTAGAGTGCCGTGGTGTCAGCCTAGCTCACAGCAACCTCAAACTCCTGTCTCAAGCGATCCTCCTGCCTCAGCCTCCCGAGTAGCTGGGACTACAGGCATGCGCCACCATGCCCGGCTCATTTTTTCTATATATTTTTAATGGGCCAATTAATTACTTTCTATTTTTAGTACAGACAGGATCTCACTCTTGCTCAGTGCTAGTTTCCAACTCCTGACCTTGAGCTATCCTCCCGCCTCGGCCTCCCAGAGTGCTAGGATGACAGGCATGAGCCACCCACGCACGGCCCATCCATATCCTTGTCAGGATTTGGGCTGGTCCTCAGTGTGCTCTGCCCACGCCACCCTGACCCGGGCTCTGGCCATGTGTGCTCAGCACCCTGTGTGGAGGGTGCCCACACATTTTATGCTCAGCCTCCTGAGCACGGACGCCCCAAAAGCCACGCCCTGAGAGCAGCGGCTGTGCAGAGAGGCAGGGAGACCCTCCCCAGGCTGGGCTGTGTCTGGGAGGCAGGAGGGGAGCAAGGCCCAAACTCAGCCCTGGGCACCAAGACAGCCCTAACTCTGCAGCCAGGAAGGATGGATGCCGCAGGCTGGGCCTGTTTGCCTCCTGCTCTTTGGTGTCCTTCTCTTCCCATGATTTCTGTGTCACTGGGAGTGGTGGCTCACTCCTTGGTCCCAGTTACTCGGGAGGCTGTTGAAGTTGTAGAAGTTGAGCCTTCCTGGCCACAGTGAGCTGAGCTTGTGCCACTGCACTCCAGCCAGGGTGACAGGGCGAGACCCTGACTCTAAAAAAAGAATTATATGCCTGTTTTTTTCTTCTTTTAAAATATTTTGGCCCGGCACGGTGGCTCACACCTGTAATCCTAGCACTCTGGGAGGCCGAGGCAGGAAGGTCGCTCAAGGCCAGTAGTTTGCAACCAGCTCTGAGCATGAGAGAGACCCCGTCTCTATTAAAAATAGAAATAAATTAGCTGGACAACTAAAAACATGTAGAAAAAATTAGCCTGTAGTCCCAGCTACTCGGGAGGCTGAGGCAGGAGGATCGCTTGAGCCCAGGAGTTTTAGGTTACTGTGAGCTAGGCTGACGCCACGGCACTCACTCTAGTCTGGGCAACAAAGTGAGACTCTGTCTCAAAAAAAAAAAAAAAAAAAACAGTATTGTGCAAAGATGATGGTGCTTTTTTTTTTTAACTTGGCACTACACACACACACATTTAACTTTTTGTGAACCGTTTGAGAGCAAGTTGCCACATCTTGCCCATCTACACCTGAATACTTTGTTGTGCACTGTCCTATAGTCGTGAGTATTCTCTTATATAACCATAGCACAAGCCTCAGTTTCGGGACATTTAATTTAGATACTTTTATCTGACGTATAGAACATATTCCGGTTCCACTAATTGTCACAATAATTTTTGTAGCAATATTATTTCTGGCGCGGGGTCCAGTCTAGAATCAAGGACTAGGCCGGGTGCGGGGGCTCACACCTGTAATCCTAGCACCCCCACACCCAAGGCCTGCACACCTCTCCTCCTCCGGCCCAGGCCTGGGTTCGAGTCCTGGTTCAGGAGCCTCCTGCGCAGCGTGGGCCCTGCAGCCTCCCCTAGAGCTGCGCGCAGGGCCGCCGGGCAGGCTTGCGGTGCTGGGACGGGGCTCCCGGCTGCACCTGGGGCTGTCAGGTGCAGGGGTGCTGGGGAGGCCCGGGCTGCGGACCCGGTTGAGCCCCCCACCCCCAACCCCCGCCCCCAGCAATACTACATCCTGCTGATCCTGACGGACGGCGTGGTGACCGACATGGCGGACACGCGGGAGGCCATCGTGCGCGCCTCGCACCTGCCCATGTCCATCATCATCGTGGGCGTGGGCAACGCCGACTTCACCGACATGCAGGTCCTGGACGGCGACGACGGCGTCCTGCGCTCCCCGCGGGGGGAGCCCGCGCTCCGCGACATCGTGCAGTTCGTGCCCTTCCGGGAGCTGAAGAACGTGAGTGTGGGGCTGGGGGGCTGCAGCGGGGGAGGGTGCAGGGGCTGCGGGGGGAGGGGGCTGCGGCGAGGGGAGGGGGCTGCGGGCCGGCCGGGCTCGGCAGGGGAGGGCTGCGGGGGGCGGGCTGCGGCGGGGGCAGGGCTGCGGGGGGTGGGGCTGAGGGAGGGCTGCGGGGGTGGGCTGCCGCGGGGGAGGGGCTGCTGGGGGGAGCCCTGGGGAGGCGCCGGCTCAGGGCAACAGAGCGGGCACGTTCCACTCAGGGCCAGCAGGATTTTTGCGTCACATGGGCACACAGAGTCCTACAGCAAGACACACACGTCATACATGGACACACATGGACGTCACATGGACACACATGATCTACAGTGAGACACACGTCACATGGACACACATGATCTACAGTGAGACACACGTCACATGGACACACATGGTCTACAGTGAGACACGTCACATGGACACGTGGTCTACAGTGAGACACACGTCACATGGACACATGATCTACAATGAGACACACGTCACATGGACACACATGGTCTACAGTGAGACACACGTCACATGGACACACATGGTCTACAGTGAGACACGTCACATGGACACACACATGCTCTACAGTGAGACACACGTCACATGGACACACATGGTCTACAGTGAGACACACGTCACACGGACACACATGGTCTACAGTGAGACACGTCACATGGACACACACATGATCTACAGTGAGACACACGTCACATGGACACACATGGTCTACAGTGAGACACACATCACATGGACACGTGGTCTACAGTGAGACACATGTCACACAGACACACATGTCCTACAATGAGACATGCACATGACAGGGACACACGTGGTCTACAGTAAGACACCTGTCACATGGACACATACGGAGTCCTACGACGACACACACGGACACACGTCCTATGGTGAGGCGTGCACATCAGGTGGACGCGTGCGGCGCGGTGGTCAGCGTGGGTGCTGGCTGTGCAGGCCCCCATCCCACACAGACTCTCCCCCTCTCTGCCTGGGGAGCGGGGGCATCTCCCCGCGGGGCGGGTGGGTCCCCGAGCGAGTGCAGGTCACACTCAGGGGCGGGTCACCAGGTGGGTGCTGCAGCCTCCTCTGTGTCCCGTCCTCCCGGGACCTCCCTGCCCCGGGCCAGCTCCTGGTGGGCCCAGACCGACCCCACCACGCCGTGGGGCCACCACCTGCGCCAGGGACCCGGCTCTGCAGGGCGAGGGCGGGCTGGGGCCGTGGAATGGGGGCAGGGGCTCTGAACGTGCAGGTGGCACTGCCGTCCCTGCCTGTCGCCCCGCCCAGGCGTCCCCCGCGGCGCTGGCCAAGTGTGTGCTGGCGGAGGTGCCCAAGCAGCTGGTGGAGTACTACAGCCACAGGGAGCTGCCCCCGCGGGGCCTGGGCGCCCACACCCCCGAGGCCGGTCCCCGCTCCACACCCTGAAGGCCACGGAGAGGGGCAGCGTCCTCGGGGTCCCGTCTGTAGCACCTGGGGTCCCCCCAACCTCCCCAGGGGCCTCTGGTCCCCACCCAGGCCCCTCCTGTTGTCCCGGCGCCTGGGCCCCGAGGGCTGGGGACGAAATCAGGTGGGGTCGGCAGGGGACCGGGGTGGCCCTGCCAGGGGAGGGGCCTGACCTTTGTTGGGGGAGGGGCCCCCTCGCAGTCCCCAGTCCTGGGGGGCCAGAGCCCCGCTGCCTGGCGGCCCCCACAGCCCTCCCTCCTGCCCCTTGCTGCCACCCAGCGCCGAGTCTGCGGGGTCTGGGGGCGTCCAACTTAATAAAGTGTCTCCTGGTCCCCACAGCTGCCTGGCGCCGTTACTGACCCCACCGCGCAGAGGCCTGGCCCCCTCCTTGCCCCCCATGTGGAGCAGGGACTCCCCAGTGCCGCTCCTGGGCTGCTGAGGACCCGCCCAGGGTCCAAGGGGTAGTGGGGGGGCCAGAGGGTGCGATGACCCCCACCCCTGCCACCGCCAGCAAACTCCACTCGGCGTCACGAGACTCCCCAGGCCTGAAATCGGCCCTGGTGAGGGTGTGGTCCTGGGGCAGCCGGAGCCCCCGGGTCCAAGTCTGCTGGGGGAGGAGGGGTCTCGGGGACTGGGCTGGGGGTGCCGGGCGAGCCTCGGGGCCACCTGGGCACACTCAGGTGCAGCCACCTGCCCGAGGCTCCGGCCCTGCTGGGGTTCCCAACCGAGTTTCCCCCATATTATCTCGTCCGAGAAGAACACATGGTCCCGACCCCGAGTCCAGGCCCACCCACCCGTCAGTCCGTCCGTCCGTCCTCTCTGCCTATTTTTAGCTCCTGATTCATCTTCTGTTAGGCAGGGATAATAGGCATCGCCATAGCAACCTAGCTGCCACGTGAATTCCGGAAGGGCCGCCACTGCTGTCCTTGGGGAGGACAGAGGCTCCAGAGAACAGCCCTTCCAGGCACGTGTCGGGGCCGCAGGGTTGTGGGGCCTGAGGGTGGGGTCCCGCCACCGCCCAGACGGCTCCTGGGCTCCA